TCAATTAGTTGCTTCTAAGAGACTGGGTTATCCCACTAGTTACCAAATAACTCAACTATAGTTAACTGGCTTTGAGAGCAGACCCCCTCCTTAAATCTCAACATCTGGAAACATATAGAGGCTTTTCAGACTGTTTTGTTCCTACCCATTCACATTCCAGTTCTGGGGCTGGGCGGGGGTGGGAGAAGAATCCTTCAAGCTGGACTGTTCTGTGGCATGACGGCAATTCTAAGCAAAGAATGCTGCTGAGTGCTCAAAGCCTGCCCCGGGACCCAACGCTTTTCACGGGTCTAACTTGCATTTGAACTTCCGTCATCTCTTCCTGGGTCCTCTGGTGGAAGCTACTACTTCTGCCAAATGAGCTCTATAGAAAACGGGACGCTTGCAGGATGAGCAACACACAAAATCATAGTGTGTTAAAGATACTTTTATAAGTCACTTTTATTTTTGTCATTTAAAAAATTCACTGTAACTGCGACATGCAAGAATACACAAAAATGCGTAAGGGAAATATGTTTAACAAAAAGAAAACCACCTCCTACCTCTCTTCCAACCACACTTCCCTCAGTCTTAGCCCCATCTACCTCCACACAAAGTACTGGTAACCTGGTGTGTGGAATTCCATTCTGTCCTGGAATGTCTTTTTCATGTTTTTTTTTTTCTTTAAACATTCCATTTTATTATTGCTGGAAAGCATATCCCCGTTTTGCATATGGGAACAGGGGTAAAAACAGCTCAGCCCCTTACCTCACCAGCATGTATTTAGAGCAAAAGAAATGGGGGTAGTGATGTCTACATGAAGGATGGGAGGTGGGGGTCCGGCTTATAGAGAGACAGCAGGAAGAGTGGTTAGGAGCCTGAGCTCTCAGACTGCCCAGGGTTCCAGTCCCAGGTCTGCTCCTTACTAGCTGCCTCAATTTTCCCATCTTAAGAAGGGAATACTGACAGTGCCAACCTCATAGGGTTTTGGGATTAGTATTTTTAAAACACTTAGAATAGAGCTGAATACAATGTTCTACACACATTAGAAATATTTAAAAATTAGCGAAATAAGGGTAGTTGAAGCTATTAGTTGAGGTTGCAGTTTTATTTTTATTTTTTTTTTCTTTTCTCATCTTGAGATTGTAGTTTTTGATGGTGATGATTATAATATTGTGGTGAAAATATTTTCCCATTAAGAGATGGCCATTGTGTTCTTGGCTTTTGTCCTTGGGATTTGATTTTTAGACCAAGTGACCAAATGACAGGTTTAAAAAAGGAGGACACACTGACTTAAAGAATACGTTTTCCCTTCCTGATATTTATTTATTTATTTATTTATAGAGGGAGGGGAAGGGAGAGAAAAAGATAGGGAGAGAAACATCAACTGGCTGCTTCTCACTTGTCCCCAGCCAGGGACTCAACCCAGGTATGTGCCCTGACCAGAATCAAACTGGTGGCTTTTTAGTTCACAGGCCAGCTCTCAATCCACGGAGCCACTCCAGTCGGGGCTGGCTTTTTTTTTTTTTTTTTTTTTTGGTTTTGTTTAACTTTTTTATTGTGAGAGCATTCCAATATACCCAAATCCCACGTACTGAGCCTCTAGTTTCAACAGTTGGCCGTTCTTGTTTACTCTCTCACATGCGGGTGTTCGTGGCCACCGTGGCTCCTCGCCACCGGCCAGCCCTTGCCAGGTTTGAAGCCAGCTTCCCAGAGCCCTCCCAGAGCCGGAGGTCCCCTCTGTCCTATAATTTCTGGTTTATCAGCCCAGAGGATCAGGTTGCCAGGAAGGATAATGACCCTTAATGAGCACCTAGAAATTCAGGTTGGGGCTATCTATTGGCCACATTCCCACTTCTTCTGTCACTTCCCAAAGGCTGGGGCTTAGCCACCATTAAGAGGAGATGCCCCAAAGCAGGTTAAACACCTTCCATCAAGTGATGTGCAAAACCATTTTAATTTTTTCAGGCTGCCACCCTTGGCGAGTCCAATCATGCTTGTCCCAATTTTCACCGCCCAGATTCAGACCAGCGGGGGAAAGGAATGCAGTGTGATAAACGAGGGCCGCTCTTGTTCCTTGCTTATGTGACAGGTCCCCCAAAAGTCCAGTTGCCCCATTATTTCTACTGACGTGAACTGGGGGAGGGTTATTTGAAAAACATTTTGTTGTGACAGTTTGCAAAGAAATTCCTGTTTTAGACTTCAAGGGCAGTATCTGCCCATCCTTTTACATACTTTGCATTTCTTCTTCTGGGCTTCTGTTGTCATGTTAGAGCTCTTCTGTTTATTTAGCAAATGCTTGTCTCCTAGCTTGTATGCATAGAAACAATAATCTCCTTTGACTTGCATTGATTTTTGGTTTTTTGGTTGTTGTTTTTTTTTTGTTTTTTCTTTTTGCTTTCAAAATGTGATTCACATTCATGTCCATGGCTTAGGTTCACAAAACCCAAAAGAGGTAGGCGTCATCAGTGGTGGTATCCTTCATGTTCCAATAGAGAACACTGAGGCCCAGAGGGCTTAAACGCTTTGCTAAGGCCACTCAGCATGAAACATGGTAGAACCTGGGTTTATAATCCAGTCACAGACTCAGATGAGCCCCTTCTTCTGTTCCTCCCCTCTCTGTCATTTATTATAGCTTTCCACTGCTCACCCCACGCACCCCCTTAAGTTTGGTAAGTGAGCCTGCCTAAAAGGTGAGGATAATGATGAGGGCATGGTTTTGATTTTTTTTTTTTAAACCAATTGGGAGGGAGAGTTGGGTGAGTGATTAAAAGGACCCAGCTACCTTCTTATGAACTAATAACTCTTATTGTTTTGGTGGCTTAGTTTATTTGCTAGGTAGCAGACATGCAGCTACTGTATGAGGTGGCCTGAAATTTCTACCATCCCTAGGTTCTAGTTAGGAGACAAAAATCCTTTAAAAAAAGCCAAGGCCCCAAGAAAAAGTTCTCTCCAGGGTGATGCAGTGCCAAACCTGAGACTAAGTAACTCAGGTGAAGGGTTACTCCCAGCTCTTCTGTAAAGTAGTTATAGGGTGTCAGGCAAGTTTATTAACTTCCTTGAGCCTCAGTTTCTTCATCTTCAAAATAGGGCTATTTGTGATACTTCCCTTTCCACCCCCAGCAGTTTTACTCTCTCTGGCCAGGGTGGGGCTGTTGGCTTCAGAAACATTTGCAAGGGTGGCCCCTGGTGGAAGGAATGAAAACTGCAGCTCAGGCATCATGGGTGACTTAGGGCTTTTCTGGCAGAGACCATATCCTCATGGATATAGAGGTGTCTAGCTATGTAAAATAAGCACAAGAGCAGGAATTTGTAAAACTATCTCTTGGAAAAGATATAAATTCTACTGGAGGAATGATGGACAATTATTTGAAAGAGAGGAAAACAGGCCAACTTGAAAGTTTCCCGGAATGAACGGTTTTATCTATGGTTCCCTCTGCCTCGAAGGCTCTTGTCTTGAAACCAGGCTTCTGCAAGGCTGTTGCCTTTAAGTCTTAGCTCAGATGCCTCCACCTCAGAGAGGCCTGCCCTCCCCATCCAATGTAAGTTACGCTTTCCCCAAACCTCCCTGCCCCTCTAGTATCCTTGTAGTACTCTCCTTAATTCCTTTGTATCCGCTAACATTGATCACCGCCTTCATTTTTTGGTTTTGGTGTTTGTCCCTTTCTTCCACAATAGTAGAAGCTCAGTGAGAGTGGGTATCTTGCCTGTCTTGTTCACTGTTTTGCGCTTAATGCTCAGCACAGTTCCTGGCATATAACTTGGTGGAAAGCTGATGAATGAGTCCTCTGGAACTCTGATGTATGGTGCTGACACTTTCGCCGTAGCTCCTCTCTAGCTTTGAGTATTAATACTATTAAAGTTTTAATACTTTAATAACTAAATTTTTTTTAAAAAACTATTTTTGTCTTTTAGCCATTGGTCATAAGCCACCTCACCCAAGCAGTCCTTTTGCTTTCTGCTTTCACCGTGCCTCCCTGTGTGATCAGGTTGAGGCGTCCTATGAAACCTCCGTTGCCTCCCCTGCCAGTGACCAGTTTCTCCCCTGTGCCCCCTGAAAGCAGGAATTACCTCTCTTTCTCTCAGATAATAAGCATATAATCATCACTCAGTAAATATCCACAATTACTAATGTCTTGGGAATATTCACAGGGATTGAATAAATTATTAACCCAGGCTGTTTGTTTTTAAATTTTTATTTAACAAACTTTAATATAGTGATTCTGTGCCAGGCCCTGTTCTATGTATCTAAAAACAATCTTCTTTTTATAGATAGGTAGACTGAGGCACAGAGAGATTTAATAATTCTCCCAAGGTCATAGAGCTAATAGAGCTGAGACACAAACCTGGGGAGACTGGTCCAGAGTCCCTACTCAACCAGTATTCCTCGCAGGTTCTCTCTTTTGTCCCACTGTTTATTTAATTGTAAACTATTTATTTATTGATTTTTACTGATTTTAGAGAAAGAGAAAGAAGCACTGATTTGTTTTTCCACTTATTAAACATTCATTTGTTGATCCTTGTATGTGCCCTGACTGGGGATCAAACCCACAACCTTTGATGTATCACTTGGGAGGACGCTCTAAACAGCTGAGCTACCCAGCCAGAGATGTAAGCTATGTATTTTAATGTAGCCTCTCCACAGCATCTAAATGTAGTATAGTCTCTATGTTTTGGACTCAATAGGTATTCTGTCTCCATTACTTTAGGGGTTTGTTTTCATATTGAAAAGAGCCATCTGAAAAGGAGAAGTCCCTTTTATTGTTATTGAAAAGGAGAGGTTATTTCCTAGACAGTTTCTGTTTCACTTTACAAGTAGTGGAGGGAAAAAAATCAGATCCTCTAACTGTGGAGAACATGATATTGTTGTTGTTCTGTCACGAGACTACGGTTTGTTCTGCTTGTACTTATTTTGTGTGCGTCAGGCTTTTGGTAGATGAGTCCAGTTTGCTTTTTAGAGATGGAAAGTGCTTGTTTTTAATCTTCCCAATTTCTTAATTGTCGTCATTTCTGCCCTGCAGTGAGTTTCGAAGGATGTACCGGTCAATCAAGGACCGTCTATGTTTCTGATGACACCAGATTCAAAGTGGGCACGGATGGTGTGCTCGCGGTCAAGCGGCCTTTACAGCTTCATAATCCAGAGATGAGCTTCCTCGTTCACGCCTGGGACTCCACCCGCAGGAAGCTCTCCACCAGGGTGACACTGAAGGCAGCAGCTCACCCCAGCCACCATCGCCACCACCATCAGGTATGTCGGAGTGTTTCTTGAAAAAAGTTCCCTATTATTTCAGTCTGCTTCCTAAGCCAGGTTTCTCTCTTTGGCACCATTCAGATTTGGGGCTGGATAATTTTTTGCTGTGGGGCCGTCCTGTGCACTGTGCTCTCTAGTAGCGTCCTTGGTCTTAACCCACTAGCTGCTAGTTGCACAGACACAGCCAATGTCCTCAGGGGGACAAAAGAGCTTCCCATTGAGAACCATTGGTCTAATTGAGTGAAATCTTTGTTTGTTTGTTTGTTTTTATTTTTTAAAATATTTTATTTATTTATTTTTAGAGACGGAAAGGGAGGGAGAACAAGGGAGAGAAACATCAATGTGCGGTTGCCTCTCACGCACCCCCTACTGGGGACTTGGCCTGCAACCCAGGCATGTGCTCTAAACTGGGAATAGAACCAACGGCCCTTTGGTTTGCAGGCCGGTGCTCAATCCACTAAGCCACACCAGCCAGGGCTTTTTTTCTTTTCCCTCAACTGAGGGAATTGTTTCATTGCTTTTATAGAGGGAGGAGGGGGGGAAAGAGAGAGAGAGAAACATCTATCTGTTGCTTCCTATACACGTCCTGACTGGGAATCGAACCCACAACTTTTCAGTGTTTGGGATGATATTCCAACCTAACTGAACCATGCTGGCCAGGGCTGAGCTAATTCTTGCTGGGGAGTTTTTGTTGCTGTTGGGTGAAGAGTGACCAGGTGGAATGATGGCAAGACGTTTATTTCTGTGGATAGTATAGAATAGTGGGTAAGGGCACGGACCCTGGGACTGATCCCAGCCCCGCCGTTTACTACCTGAGTAACCACGGGGAAGTTATTTAATCTGTCCGTGCTTGAATTTCCTTATCTGTGAAATGGAGATAATAATGACTGCATGAATTAGTACACGTGAAATGCTAGAACCACACTAGGCATATAATAAGTACTCAGTAATTGTTAACTGTTCTTATCATTCCCTTCCTGGAAGAAGGATGAATAAGAGGTCAATTCTCTGATCATTTTGCTCTTTCTGTGTCTAGTGGAGAGGGTCTTGGCAGAGGAGGGAAAAATCAGTGGGAAGTGTTTGCCGCACTGGCCTGTAATCTATACAAGACCCTCCTCCCTGATATTGCAGTGCCTGGCCCTGGGTCTGACACGTACCGGGGGGCCAGTGAGTATTCAGTGGGCAAACAGATGGACTGGCCACGAATGAAAAGGTAGATGTGTGCCTGCCCAGGTCCTTGGCAAGAGTGTTTCTGGGCATTATTACCCGAAGCCAAAGGCCTTTGCCAGTTTCTAAACTGCTCCCGTGGTGCTTCCTACCCAAATGCCTCTCTGGGGAACCGCCCTGCTGCTGCCTTGGACGTGTGGGATGGGCTCTGATGCCAGGGCCTCTCAGGCTGGCTCCACTTCGCTCCCCAAAGACTCCTGGGATTCCAGGAACTTAAAAGTCCTGATAGGTTGAAATTTTTCTTCCTGGTATAATTGGACAGACCAGGAAAATGAGGAACTCAGTAGAATTCTATTAACACAGCTCTCCAACTCAAGTATTCCAATGACTGGAGTTCATGTAAGTTCAGCATGGTGAGTCTTTGCTGGGCAGCGATGCTTGGAAGCCTCTTATGACCAAAGACAGTTTTCAACATTTCATCTTGGTTTTTCAACTTTTCCTCTCCACCTTTGCCAACTTTGTCTCTGCCTCCATGTCTGCCGAATTGTGATTGAGTTGAAATACATGTTATAGAAAAACACAAATCACAGTAGTTTGTATAAAATACAGTGTTTCTCTTTCACGTTAAGGAAATCCGAATTAAGGATAAGTTGTGGTCGGTGTGGAGACCCCACAGTCATCTGGAGCCCAGCTCCCCCTTTCCTTTCTGTTCCGTCAGCCTCAGGGCATGGTTCCAATCCGCAAGGATAAGAGGTGGCTGTTACAGCTCCTGCAATCAGCTTTATTCGAGGTGACAAGAAAGAGAAAGGGAGGAAGCACAGAAATGTGTCACTTAATTGGCTGCCTTTTTAAGAAGACTTCGTGGAATTATCAAAAAAATACTTTTGCTTATATCTCATTGGCTACAACTTGGCCTTATGGCTGCCCATAGCTGCAAGTGTAGTGTAGGAAGCATAGTGTTTCGCTTGGGTACTGCTGGATACAGAATTGAGATACACACACGTACACTGGGAGAGACAGAGGTTTTTTTGTTTTTAAGTAAAAAGAGAAGAGTGGATATTAAGTGGTAGGTGGCAACTCTGCCATAGCTGGTTGGCAGTCTGCTTAGCTTTGCCTATAGTTCAAGGGACCCTCATGGAGCCAGGTGGTCCTGCGTTAGGAGAAGGGATGACAATCTTACCTTTCTTTTCATTCATGTAAGAATAAAATTTTTTAAAGAATAGATCTTATATGTATATTAAAACATCACATTGTACACTCTCAATACTTACAAGTATTTGTCAGTTATATGCCTAAATAAAGCTGGGGAAAAAGTAAGAATAGATTAGCTTTCCAGTTCCTTCTCTATGTTTGCGTGGATTTTCTCAGTCTGGTGTGTCCTTTTTCTGAGGGATGAAGTCCGTGTTCGGTGTGCTTATGCATGATTGCCTTTAGTATTACACAAGAAGATGTTAATGTTGTGTTTTGCCAGCACAGTGTTCATCATTGTTTATTATCAGTCCCTGAAAATATCCTATAATCCTGATATCAGCAAGGCATAGTCTTTGTCTTCCTCTTCAGTGGAGCAAATGGATCTGTATTTATTTATCAACACCTGTGTCCATGGCTATGCACAATGGTGGTTTTTAGGCTTAGATTACGGTATTGACAGTCTGTTTAACACTCATTTCTGTGCTAGGGGTCAAGCCCCACACTTGACTTCATTAAAACCATAACTCACTGTTTTCCTGCCAGTTTGACCATCATTGCCATCATTGTCATTTTCGAGCACTTACTATGTCTTGGACACTGCTTGTAAAACAGGTATCTCATTTCATCCTTCCGAGAACCCTATGAGGTATATGTACTAATATTTTCCCCATTTTAGACATCAGGAAACTGTGGGACAGAGAAGTTAACTAATCTGCCCAGGAGATGGAGGTGCCACAGTGAAGATCCAAAGCCAGGCAGGCTGGCTCCAGAGCCTGCCCTTGGCCCAGGCAGGGCTGCTTCTCTGGGAGAGGAATGTGAGGCTGCAGACGGAGGGTGTGTGTGTGTGTGCGCGCGCGCGCGTGTGTGTGACCAGAACGCAGAATCGGGGAGGACTTTGTGATAACATCTGTTCACATCTCATATCTGTCTTCTGAATTTTGAGTCAAATTTTAAAAGCCAGGAAACAGGGCTTGACTCACACTTGCAAACAATGATCAGTGACTATGTAGAGGGTGGGAAATGGAATAGTCTTCTCGAACCTTCACCCTGTTCTCACTAATCACTTTAAAACACTTAAACAATTTGGAAGATTTTTTTCCTTCCATCTCCAACTATCTTATTTCCCTGTGTGTGCATAAAGTTATCATTATCGCACATGAAAATTGTTCAATACAAGTCTCAAAGGGTGTTCTAACAGCTTCTGCTAGAACAAACGGAAACCATATAGATATAATGACATCATGAGATTGAGGCATTTGTATTGATCACAAAGTAATTCTTAGTACCAATTCCCAAAGCTTACTTATTTTGGCTGATAAGTCCACTTTAGGGACCTATAATTCTAGGAAAAACATAAAGAAAAAGAAACTAAAACACCAGAATATCCAGTTGTTGGAAAAGCTCTGATATTAAATCATTGTAGTGTAATGGTCTATTAAAAAAGACACGTGTGATTTGTGAAGTATGTGATTGTTTAACCACTATGTTGTACACCTGAAACTAAAACTAAATGATATTAATTGTAAACTCTAATTGAAAAATAAAATTTATAAACATGACAGGTGTGATATTGTAGGCTTGAAATTACTTATAAAATCATGTCAAACCCACGAACCTATAGTCACACATGCATCGTGAGTGCTTGAACTTCAGACACTAGGAAGATCAAAGGAGACCACTTTCTTTATTGTCTTAGGAAGGGGGAGAGGTTTCATTGGATTTCGTTTTGACTGTTAATTACCTCATCTTGTTCTCTGCCTCTTTTCCTTTCAGGACGCCCTCCCTGGAACTCAGGCGGAAGTGCTCACGTTTCCCGACTCCCACCGTGGTCTCAGAAGACAGAAGAGAGACTGGGTTATCCCTCCCATCAGCTGCCCAGAAAACGAGAAAGGGCCATTTCCTAAGAATCTGGTGCAGGTAGAAAAGGATGTTGTCTATTTCTTTGGGAAGAATTTGGCAGAGAAGGACCAAGGAGAGAAGGGAAAAAGACCCAATGTAAGGATCCTTCCTTGCTAATTTTGTTCCTGTTTTGTCTTCAGATCAAATCTAACAGGGACAAAGAAACAAAGGTTTTCTACAGCATCACTGGCCAAGGAGCTGACACACCCCCTGTTGGTGTGTTTATTATTGAAAGAGAAACAGGATGGTTAAAGGTGACACAGCCTCTGGACAGAGAAGCAATTCCCAAGTACACAGTGAGTATCCCATCCTCCCCAAGCTTTTGGTCAACCCATGCTAGACCCCTAGATCCAATGTTCCAGGCATATGAGGAGCTTAATTTGATACCTCAAGGCCTATTGATAAGCATAAATGACAGGAGAGCCTGGATGGTGGGTGGAGAGTGGGGGGGAGAATCCTTATGCACCATGCATGCATAAGTTCAGACCCAAGATATCAACCTATTCTTGGAGCTAAAAGTCCCCAACCTGAAGGAAGCGTCTGCTGATGATGCTGAGGAGCAAAAACCATTTCTGGGCCTCGGTAGCAGGGAGCTTAGGGAAGCTGGGAGGTAATCCATTGATGCCAAATGCAGAAAAATCTGGGGGAAGCACTAGACTGGAGTAGCCAGAGCAAATTTTACCCTACTTGGAGTAAGTCAGAGTTTGGGCTTTCACCTCTATCTCTGAGGTCTGGCTCCCCAGCCCTAGTGTGGGGAACACGAGTGCTGACGTGGTGGGTGTGTTCTCCCGCCTATAGGTCCTCACAGGTCATGATCCCAGCCAGTGCTGTGGCCCCACAGGAGCAGCCGCACATGTGTGAGAAAAGGCCTCTGCTGGGGGTGCCATGTGCTTGCGTCTTGGAGAGTGGGAAGGAGAGGGACACCGGGGGAGCCCACTCTCCGTCGGTTGGGCCACTCCTCCCACTCCCTCTTTCCTCCCCGGGGCCCAAGTAACACTCGCTTGGCTCTTGCAGCTCTACTCTCACGCTGTGTCTTCAAATGGGAATGCAATTGAGGACCCAATGGAGATTGTGATCACAGTGACAGATCAGAATGACAACCGGCCTGAGTTCACCCAGTCAGTCTTCGAGGGGTCTGTCATGGAAGGTGCTCTTCCAGGTAAGTAATGAGAGCCAGATGCCCAGAAAGGAACTTAGATTCTTCAGACCCCACAGTGTGAGGCTGACGTTTGGGATCAGGCCCTTCATATGAGTAGATAGTACCTCTTTGGAAGCGCTGTGTGTGTGCTGTGTATATGCATGCATGTAACACCTGACCGGTAAAAACATGTATAAAATGGGAGCAATTTAAAAACAACCTTCCCTGATTAAACAGATTCTTTCCAGTAGTTTAAGCCCCACATACAATTTTCCTGGTCATATTTATTCTCTTTCTCACAGAGGCAGACACTGCCCTGACCTTTGTAATTATCCCCGCTCCAACCCTGCCCATCCCCGCGCCTTATTTTAAAATTTATCTTCTACGGTGTGTGTATTTACCTCTAGAAGTTTTGCCTAGTTTTCTAAACCATTTTCCAAAGTGGTCCAACCAATTTACCTTCCCATAGGCAATGTATGTCCTGGAATTATTACTTTTTAGCTTTCGTCAATGTGTAATTATATCTCAATGCAATTTAAAATTGCATTTCTCTCATTATGAACAGGCTAAACATGTTATCACGTGTTTTTGGCCATTTGAGGATCTTCTTTACAGCTTGTCTATTCAAGTCTTTTGCCTCCCTTTATTCTCTTGGGCTATTTGTCTTTTTCCTATAAACTCTTAGAGCTATTTAGATGTCCTAGGAACTAGTCCTTTGTCAGTCACATGTGTTATAAATATTTTCTTCCACCTTAAAGACAATGACCTCAAATGACCCATTCTCTCAGGTGAAAGCGGTGGCTGAGAAGCCAATTACAGAAATCCTGGGATTTTCCCTACTTCCCAGGCCATTCATTCAGTATAAGTGACATGACACAATGGTTAAAGTTATTTACTCCCCATCCCCTCACCTCCACCCCTACCTGAAACACCTGTCGGAAGAGCCAAGTTCTCAGGACACTGCTCATCTGGTGGAAAGTTTTCTTCCTCCTGTAGCGCTTTGGTAAGATATTTGGAAATTAGTGATCCCGGGAGCAGTGCCATAGTATTGTCCCTGGGGCCCTGCCTTTAACACTCCAGACACAGTTGAACCGAACAGTATTGGCCAGACGCTGAGGCATTGCCTGACTGGGTCTCTCTCTCCTTGGATGCTTCCAGGAACCTCTGTGATGCAGGTCACGGCCACAGACGCAGACGACGAGGTGAACACCTACAACGCCGCCATTGCTTACACCATCGTCAGCCAAGAGCCTATGCAGCCTCACAAAATGTTCACCATCAACAAGGACACAGGAGTCATCAGCGTGCTCACCACCGGCCTGGACCGTGAGGTCAGGGAGGAAGAGATCCGGAGGTGGTTGTGGGCAAATGCACGTAGTTAAATCCATGGACAACGCAAAACTGCGGAGGCCACTTAACCACTTGCATGGTCATGGCCTGAGCTTTGCATCTAAACATCTGTCCAGAGGTTTTGTGCCTAACAGACAGGCTGGTAGGACAGCATTTACGCAGATGATAAAATATTTGTTTCTATGCTATGGGCTGGGCTCATCTGGCTGTGGGTTCTAACTTGGGCGTGTTCGATCTCTACAGAATATTACGACGTATACCCTAGTGGTTCAAGCCGCTGACCTTCAGGGTGACGGCTTAAGCACAACTGCAACAGCTGTGATCACGGTCACGGACATCAACGACAACCCTCCTATCTTCGACCCGAGCACGGTAATTCTGCAACTCCTTGGATGGTTTCCCAAAGAAAGGTCCTTTTTTGTTTTACAACTGCTCCCGAGTGATGCCTTTGAAAACTTTCCCCAGACTAGTGAACTTTAAACTAAGAAATAAGCAGATTAGCGTGGCAGTTGTCTCTGTCTGGTGCCTCAATATTTTTCTGATTAGATATGGGAGATATTATCACAAACAAGGCAGACAAAGATGCCGTTCTCATGAACTTTATAGTCTGGTTAGAGAGGTATTAGACCACACAAATGAATTATTGTGCCCAATTATGTTAAATGCAGTCCAGGAGAAGGGGCGAAGCTCCATGAAAGAACTTACACCTTACTGTGTTAGTTAGAAGTCGCTCAGTGGTTAGCAACAGACACTAGATTCTTGGGTTTAGACGGGTTTGACTTTTTCTCATGTCACAAAAAACCCAGAGGTGGATAGTCTGCTCTGTCAGTAGAGACCGAGCCTCTATTGTCTTGCTGCCCCACTAACGTTGGTGCATGACTTCCATGCTTGGTGTCCCCTTGTGACTGAGGATGGCTGCTGGAACTCAGCCACGTGTGTGCTTCGTTCAGGAAGAAGGCAAAGGCAAGGGGTGCACAAGGCATTGCTAAGTGAAGTCCTCTTATTTCTGGAAAGACCCATCCCACAAATTCTGTTTATATGTCATTATCAACTGCTATCAGCAAAGGAAGCCTGGAGATACAATATCTTATTTGGGAACATTGGTGCCACCAACAGTACAGGGAGTGAAGACGGGGAGAATGGATATTCAGTAGGCAATCGGCAGTGTCTACCACCTTAACCTAGGCATTGCGACAGTGAGTACCATTTACAGGAAGACTCGAGAGGATGTTGGCAAATGTGGGATGGGGAGGGCGGGAGAGTGTTGCAGGCAGACAGATCAGCATAGGGAAAATGCACTGAATTAAGAGGAAGCTCGATGCCTAGCCAGAACTGTAAAAAGCAGTGTAGAACCAAAGGAGGCCGGGTCCTGCAGGCCTTCGTAAACGGAGTTCAGAATTTTAGAATTCTGAGAATTCTGAACTCAGTCGGTGGCTGAGCCCGAGTGTGCTGAGGGGCGCGGATAGCCGGGGCCTTGGAGAGCTGCCTCACGCGCTCGTGAAGGAGGACGCTCTGAGTGCTAGCGGACCAGACTCCCTGACAGGAAATAAGTGCCCTGCTCTTGAGGGACCACTTCCTCTGAGACTCTTCTCTAAACTTGGCCTCAGAGAACATCCCTTTAGCTCCCTGAGGCCTAGTTTCATTACCGTGTCTCAGGGTGTCATACCCGACCCAACTTCTCCTTTGCGCTGCAGTACCAGGGACAGGTTCCTGAGAACGAGGCTAATGCCGTGATCGCTACGCTCAAAGTGACCGATGCCGACGTCCCCAATACCCCGGCGTGGGAGGCTGTGTACATTGTACTAAACGACGAGGAGGAGCAATTTTTTGTCACCACAGACCCAGCCACCAACGATGGCATTTTGAAAACGGCTAAGGTGTGTATGGTGCCTGGCAACACGCAGAAACTGACAGCCCACTCCCTTGTCCTGGGTGTCTTCTGAGTAGGTCAGCATGGCGGTGGTGCGGTAGGGGTGGCCAGTTCTCCCAGGTTCTGAGGACCACTTGGAGTTTGCGGGGACACTTCAGGCTCCTGTGAGAAGTCAGGAAGGAAGCTCCTACCCAGCATCCTAACATTGAAAAGGAAGTACCATCTGTTTTAACAGGCTCTTTCCTTGAAACATTTGCTTGCAGCCCACATCCATTTTACAAATGAGAGCAAAAGCGGTTTACTAATCTCTGCTATTTTGCTGGATTATTTTACAAATGGGTCTTATATGACTGTTTTAGTGATGTCTTAGAGCCCTGGTCGGGTTGCTTGGTTGTTCAGAGCATTGTCCTGATATGCCAAGACTATAGGTTCAATCCCAATCAGGGAACATGTAAGAATCAACCAATGAATGCATAAATGAGTGGAACAACAAATTGATGTTTCACTCTGTCTCTCTAAAATCAATTTTTTAAAAAAGATGTCTTGGGAAGTTAAAAACTAAGAAGTTGAGGGATTGTTTTTGTTGTTGTTGTTGACATTAGAGAGTTAACAGATTTCTGGATTAGTCCTAGAACTTTGACTTCCTCTTAAGCAAGTGAGAGGGCACTTCATTTCTGAATTACTTACACCTGATCTTACCTCCCACTGAACATTGACATAAACGTTTTCTGTTATTGTTCTATCAACCATAAAAAGAAGCTAGGGATTTGAGTTCCTCCTATATAAGGCTTTCATAAAAATTCCCAGCTTACCCTTTACAGCACCTCTGTGAGGTAGTTCCTTTTCCTACTTACTTAGGTGTAGAAACAGACCCAGAGGGTAAGTTGCCCAAATCACACAGCTAGGAAATGGCCCAGCTGGGATCTGACCTGGCTGCTGGCTGATTCTAACTCCCTGTGTTAGTGAGGGGACCAGCAGGATCTTCTGTCCATCTGTTGTCACATGGACAGCATGTCACACGGGATGCGAACATTCTTGTTGGTCTTAATGTGCTAGTGTTTGTTAACTGAAGCTTGCTGGCTGAGATTTCTCAAGTTCATCTTCTTCTGGGCTTCTCAACTCTAATACAGCCAGATTTGAGGATCATTGGAACATTGTTAACCAAAAACAACAATAGTTAAGGATTTCATTTTTTTCCTACTAACATAAGCTCATTTTTCTGCTCTTTAGGGCTTGGATTTTGAGGCCAAGCAGCAGTACCTTCTCTACGTGGCAGTGAAGAATGTGGCCCCCTTTGATGTCACTCTGTCCACTTCCACAGCCACTGTCACTGTGGATGTGATGGATGTGAACGAAGCCCCCATCTTCGTGCCTCCCCAAAAGAGAGTGGAGGTGCCCGAAGACTTTCCAGTGGGACAGGAAATCACATCCTACACTGCCCAGGAGCCGGACACATTCATGGAACAGAAGATAACGTAAGTATGGATTTTTCAACTGACTTGCAGCAACTGGGTGTGCATATATGTGTGTCTATAAAATGTTTATAGTATTTTATCATCATTGGTCTATACAAGATACTTTTAATTGGCTTTTTAAAATTTAAAATATATATTTTTAAAGATTTTATTTATTTTTAGAGAGAGGGAAAGGGAGGGAGAAAAAGAGGGAGAAAAACATCAGTGTATGGTTGCCTCTGGTGTGCCCCCTGCTGGGGAGGAGCAACCCAGGCTTGTGCCCTGACTGGGAATCGAACTGGCGACCCTTTGCCTCACAGTTCAGTGCTCAATCCACTGAGCCACACCAGCCAGGGCTCTTAATTGGCTTTTTTAAAAAAATTTCTTTTTTATCCCCATTCTCCACACCTTTTCCATTTTCTCCATAACCAGCCATTCTAGGATTATTGTGCTTCCTCTCTTTGAGCTCATGTATTAAGTACAGCGAGAATGTGATTTTAATTTACATACATGGTGTTGTTTAAGTAGTTTATTGTTCTCTTTAAACTTGAAGTCATCTCTATAGTGTAAATTACAGCCACAGATTCTGAAAACACATACAAATCAATGGCAACAATGTCCTTAGACTTTTGAGAGCTGGGTTTGACTAGGAAAAGGTTAGAGCACAAACCCAAACATGACATTTGTATCTTGTTAGTAATGAGGTTTCCAGGGGTAATAGAGGCCTTCCTCTGTTGTACTCACTTCTTGTTGCACTTGCTTCTGTTACCTGGTTAATGTTACCATGTTTCATCATCACAGTTAGAAAGCAGACAATGACTTTGGAGGGTGGCCTAGTAAGAACCTGGTATTTGCATCTCTTTTTGGCCTCAGCTGAGACATTCCTGCACACCATTATGGGGGCACAGAAAGATGGTGGAAAGAACTCTCTTGGCATTTTGAATAAAACATTTTTTTGCTCTGCAAAACCATAGGGAGCTTTAGCCTCCCTCACACCTACCATTAAATGTCGATGCAGCAGCCCATCCTCAAGTTCCTGTGCCGGCCCAGATCTCCAGAGGCTGACGGTAGGGGTGCGGAGTGTGGCGCCCACCATTCGAGAACTCCTGTTCCCTTTGGGGAGCTGTTCTGAAGAGTTTGCTTTTAAAACTGCAGAAGGATCATAGTACTCATTAGTCAGGGAAGATTTATCCAGGGATGTAAAATTAATGGAATAAAAGTTAGTTTGTGAACAAGATAGTCTCAATTATCGCCCTTTAGATTGTAGATTAACTCTAAAGAGGAAAATAATACCTTTACTATGAAGAAGCCTGGTGGTCCCTCCTTTAGCCAAGTGACCAAAGTGAACCTCAGTAGAAGAACAAACAGATGTCATGTGCCTCCTAATGAGATGCACCAAGAAGGGCACAGCATTACCTGTGTAGTGTTCTTGCTTCTACCACCCAAATGCTTAATGAATTTAATTATGGGGGAATAATCAGACAAATCCAAACAGAGGGGCTTCCTACAGAACAACCGACCTGCATACTTCAAAAATGTTCGTTTTAGGGAAGGAAATATGGGCTAAGGAATCGTTCCAAATTAATGGACGTTAGAGAGACATGGCAACTGAATGTCATGCATGATCCTGGATTGGATTCTGAATCAGGGCAGAGACTCTGTTTAGGACAGTTTTAGAGAAATGAACAACTTGAATATGTACCATATGTTTATTAATAGTACTTTATGAAGGTTATATTTTCTGAAATTGGAAATGTAATTGTCGGTTATATTAGAGAACGCCTTTATTCTCTGCAGATAACACAATAAAGTATTTGTGAATAAAAGAGCATCTCGCCTGCAACTTACTCTCATGGTTCAGCAAAACAAGACACTATGCGTATACGTGTCAGCTTTTGTATTTGCAAAATGTTAACAGTGGGTGAATCTAGGTGAAGGTACATGAATGATCATCATACTTTTCTGGCAACTTTTATATAGATGTGATTTCTTTTTCTTTTTAATATGGAAGTCAAAAATGTAGAGAAGTTGGAACTGATTGGCGAAGAGGAACTTTACACTTTGTCAGCTACCTGCTGATTGCTGTTCCCACTCTAAGCCAGAGCTTGTGCCTTTTCAGGTATCGGATTTGGAGGGATACTGCCAATTGGCTGGAGATTAATCCGGACACTGGTGCCATTTCCACTCGGGCTGAGATGGACAGGGAGGACTTTGAGCATGTGAAGAACAGCACGTACACGGCCCTCATTATAGCTACTGACAATGGTAAGGGCACCCTTCCCCTTCGGCCTTTGCTGCCTCACCTAGCTCGCTTCCTTGCCTCCTTCCCTTCTTTTGGAGGCATGCGTTCATTCTTTTTTTTTGTATTCCTTTTTTTTTAAGGTTTTATTTATTTATTTGTAGACAGAGGGGAAGAGAGGGAGAGAAACATCTGTGTGTGGTTGCCTCTCATATGTCCCCAACTGGGGACCTGGCCTGCAACCCAGGCATGTGCTCTGACTGGGAATCGAACCGGCGACCCTTTGGTCAATCTACTGAGCCACACCAGCCAGATTTTTCTTTTATTCCTAAACAAAAGTGTTCTCATTGTCAAAAATGCAAATAATTTGGATCAAGCAGAAGTTCCTTTTCACCACTTTCTCTGTACCTGAACCCCACTTCTTATGGTAGCCAGACTGCCTGAGGTTAGCTCCTAGGACCAAAGCCAAATGCCTATGTGACCCTGGACTTACTGCCTAATTTTTATGTCCCTTTGTTCCTTTTTCTGACAAATGGTGATATCCTGTCAGAATTCAATGAGCTAATTTATGTAAAAAGTGCCTGTTACATAGTACATGCACGTTGAGGACTGTCTCTATATTTTGACTATATGTTTTTAAGACACAGGGGTATACCATGGCACATTATAGATCTGCAGGCATACATTTGAGCTATGGTGGGTTCAGTTCTAGACCACCACAATATAGTGACTTATAATCTTTTTGCTGGTGGAGGGTCTTGCCTTTACCATGTAAGAAAATGCAACATAAATAAATAAAAGCAAAGCACTACGAAACAAGGTATGCCTGTACCTCTTTTCAATAAAATGTTGTTGTCTGGATACAGTGCAATTTAATCATTCACTCATTAAAAGACCACTGGGGTTATTTTCAATTCTTCATTATTTATGGGAGTGATAAAATAAACATCCTTGTACATGCCTCTGTGTGCAACTGTTTCCCTCAAACAGATACTCAGAAGCAGAATTGCTATTAAAAAAAAAAAAAAAAGCTAGCTTCCTGTGATTAAACTCTCTTCCCTTTTCTCATCCCTCGACCTCCCAAGGTAGTAATTCCAGACTTGACAATCTAGAAAGCAGAGGACAAGGCACGTAAGGCCATGAAGGGGCTCTAATCGCAAAATGCTTTTGCATAGAGGGAAAGCTAAGCCATTGCTACAGCTCCAGACTGGCCTGAGATAAGTTGAAGGAATGGTATCTAAAGCAAGGGCCAACAAACTTTCTATAAAGGGCCAAGGGTGAAACATTTCAGCCTCCATAGACCATATAGGCTTTGTTGCAATTGTAGTCTAGAAGTGTCATAGTCTTTGAAGGAATGAGCATAACTGTTTTCCTAATTTGGCCAGAAAGCCTTACTTTGCTGACCTCTAAACTAATAATGGCTAAGGTGTGGCCATTCTGAATTGTTCCTTAAAGTGTTACTTTGTGCTTGACTCAGCAGTTCTCAGTGTGGGTCTAAGAGGAGAATGGTTTCATCAGAAAAATCTATTAGCTCATTAAAAATTTTGTTTAATTAAAAATTTTAAGTGATACCTGCTCATTGTTTAAAAAAAAATTCACATGATAAAGTAAAACAATTTATCCACAGATGAATGGATAAACAAATGTGGTACATACACACAATGGAAGATCATTCAGCCTTAAAAAGGGGGGCAATCTGTCACATATTACAAAATGGATGGGCAGTGAGGACATTATGTTAATTGAAATGAGCCCGTCACACAAGGACAAATACTGTATGATTCCATTTACGTGAGGAATTAAAGTCAAATTCACAGAAACAGAAAGTAGAATGGCAGTTACCAGGGAGTGGAGAGGGGAATGGGGAGTTGTTTAATGGATAAAAGAGTTTTAGTTTTGCAAGCTGAACAAGTTCTGGAGAGCTATTTCTTGACAATATGAACATACTAACACTATTGAACTGTACACTCAAAGAGATGATAAATTTTATGCTCTGCTTTTTTTTTTAATGACCAAAAAAAAAAAAAAAGAAAGAAAGGTAAAAAGGAAAAATAATCACTATGGTCCTGCCATCCAGGTATAACTATTTATAGGTTTGAGATATAGTCCCCTGGGTCTGGGACTTTTTTTTTCCTACAATATACTAATATTGATGATGATGATGACTTTTTTTTGAATAACATATTTTAATTTATTTTTTTATTGTTCAAGTTCAGTTGTCTCCATTTTCCTGCCCCACTTTCCCCCTGCTGATCATTTTTTGAGTATATTCTTTCTCTACTGCCGTGTGCTAGGTGCTGCATCAGGATGTAAAAGAAATACAAGCAGAAGTGTGTATGAACTTCCCAATCTATTTTGAAAGCAACTTGTAGCTATTTTAAAAGACTCAACCCTTTGATAATGACCTTAAAGCCATAGATGTTCGGAAAGGGAGATGAGGTGGGGTCAACGAGGACTTCTTGGAGTGGTGGGCAATCAGTGGATGAATAAAGATAGGTAAAGAAGAGGAAGGGGCTGTTCTTGATATGAGGAATAACTTGAATAATCGTTATAAAAATGGGGAATAAGCATGTCCGGGAACTGCCCAAACAGGAGCGAAGATGTCCTGCAATGGGCAGAACAAGAGGCTCTGTGGGCAGGCGACCCTGAAGGGCCAGGACAAGCTTCGGGTTCAGTCCGATGGGAGGCGATGGGGATTCGTCAATGTTCCCGAGCTGTGGGACATCCTGTGTGTTTCCTCTTAGGTTCTCCACTTGCTACTGGAACGGGGACCCTTCTCCTGTTCCTCTCTGATGTGAATGACAACGCCCCCGTACCAGAACCTCGCAATGTGGAATTCTGCCAGAGGGACCCACAGCCTCATATTATCAACATCATTGACCCTGATCTTCCCCCCAACACGTCTCCTTTCACAGCAGAGCTAACACATGGGGCAAGTGTCAACTGGACCATTGAGTACAATGACCCAGGTGAGAACTTGAGGCTCATTTTGGGAGCTTTGCTCTCACTCTCATGCTTCCTCTGCCCCCACTTCCACCTCTCTTCCTGAAATTCCCTTTCATTTGATGCTTGTTTTCTTTCCTTTTCAAAATATTTTATTTATTTTTAGAAAGAGGGGAAGGGCGGGAGAAGGAGAGGGGGAGAAACATGTGTGGTTGTCTCTCTTGCGTCCCCGACTGGGGACCTGGGGACATGTGCCCTGACTGGGAATCAAACTGACAGCTGTTTGGTTCTCAGGCCAGCACTCAACCCACTGAGCCACGCCGGCCAGGGCTGATGCTTGTTTTCTTGTTCCCTCTACATTTGAGGCATTCCACCAAAGGTCCCTTTCCTTTGCTGGTTGACTTTGCAACATACTGATCGGTAATCTGCAATCCAAGCAGCTCTGCTTTCTTTACTGTTTTGGAATATCTTTAGTTCCTTAATAATCTTATTCTACAATAAACATTTTTCCTCCCCTGGTCCCATCATTTATTTTTGTTGCTTCCTCTAGAACACGAATCTCTCATTTTGAAGCCAAAGAAAGACTTAGAGTTGGGTGAATACAAGATAAATCTCAGGCTCGCAGATAACCAGAACAAAGACCAGGTGACCACCTTAGAGGCGTTTGTGTGTGACTGTGAAGGGCCCGTCAGCACCTGCAAGAGGGTAGCGCCTTATGCTGAAGCAGGATTGCAGCTTCCTGCCATTCTGGGGATTCTTGGAGGCATCCTTGCTTTGCTGAGTAAGTACAGCTGCCAAGTGTATACTTCGACTTCTAAAATGGGGGAGTTTTCTCATTTGCTGAACATTTCAGACGTCCGTGGTCCAAGACTGGAAGGCCACTTGTTCATCAAGCCAGCAGGGGGCCCAGTCCTGTTTTACTGTTCTTTCGGTCCCTCCGGGCAGTGCTTCTCAAGCTCAAGAGCATATAGATCACCTCTGCCTCTTTGTAACATGAGAATTTTGATCTAGTAGATTTGGGGTGGAGCCTTAGATTCAGCATTTCTAACCAGCTCCCAGGTGATGCTGGGCGTTGCATGTCCTTGGACCAACTCAGGGCAGTAAGTACGGCTGCCCTCATCAGCATGGTCAGAGCCAGCCAGCTCCCCACCTGCACGCTCCGTCCTGGAGGAGGGATGATCGAGGAAGGGTAAGGCACGCGTCTGGAAGCTGCCTACGCCACCTTCGCTCTCGTCCCCTTGGCCCAACCACAGCCACGCCTGGAAGTTTCCAGTCTTAACTGGGTAACTATGTGCCTGATTAAAATTTAGCAGAGGGTAGGGGTGGAGTGTGAGGCAGTCAGTCAGTATTGATGACTGATTGGATGAAGGAGGAAAAGAACACTGGGAAAAATTTGGCAGTTTTTGCCACAGTCTTTAAATACTGATGTCACCTGAGCCCACCTAGGGCTGACACGGATGCTTTCACAGTTTCAAAAACCTAGCAGTGACAAGTCAATTAGAAAACCTTCGAAGACAGTGTATAATTAGAGGCTAGAAAAGTGGTCTAGGTCATGAACGCTTTGCAGTCCAAAGAGGGGGCTGTTAACTGAGTCTCAAGAAAGGTTTGGTGGCAGCTAGAGGATGGCTGTGCTCCAGGGCCGGTGGAATCCAAGTAGGCCGAGGGGCCTTCATGGAGGTTCCCGCACAAACGAAGACACGGAGGAGAGAGGACGGCTTCATCACACCCTGTAGGGCAGAGATGAGGCCAATGGAGTCGAAGACGGTTCCTAGAGGGACCAATGGGACCAATGGGACCAGTGCTGGGGCTTTTCATTTAGATTCTGCACAGGCGTTACTGATCTTGCCGCTGCTGCTTCAACGGGTTTGAGAGGGGGTTATTTCCTGACCTTCAGTAAATGTTCGCAGTATGTCCATTTGCTCCTGTCCTCTGCTGCCTGTGTCCTCTCAAAATTGAGAAGGAAGATGAGTGTTTAGAATTCAACTTTCTGGTTTTATTGCTACCATGGGATTAGGTGATTCACCTTCCTCTGTCGTGGTTCTGGGTGTGGTAACGCAAGTCCTGCCCACTCCCTCACTTTCTGGTCAAATTGTATTTCAATGGGCCGGTCTGTTTCAGAGACAGTGGCTATTAAATTCATACCTTCATTCTGAGGAAAATATTAAAGATTGTCATTATATTTAAAATACTGATTTTTTTTTGTAATAGCATTACCTAAATTTACTATGGGTATATTTCAAAGATTATTTCAAGTATGAAACAACATTTACAGCAGAAGCAATGCCAGGATTCAGATTTCCAACTTCTTATTCCTTATGGACAATCATAGAACTCATACAGCTAAAGAATGTCCTAGAGAGGCACCAGGATATGAAAGTTTTTATGTAGTCCATCAGTATTTGATTGCTTCCTCTGTTCTGAACTTTGTGTCAGACACTGGGGATACTGGGGTTTTGGTACAGTTGGGGTGGGGAGGTATTTCCTGAAGTGATAGCAATAGGCTGTACTTTGATTACTGTCCTTTAAGTAACTTATGTAAAATTCCATAAGAAGCAGCCTTTTGGAAACAGTAACACGCCTCTGGCTCTCACTGGCTCTAAGCTCTGTGTGGGTGGAGGCTACTTGCAACTCAAATTCTCTTCCGCGCTGTGTCCTCAGTGCTGAGGCAGGTCTTGACCCACCAAACAAGTGCTTGGTATTCCTGTTTGTGAATTATGGCCAAGGGTGTTATGTTGCTTATTTTGGATAAGATCTTGGGATCTTTCTTATTTTAGAAATAATAAGTAGGTTGGGTGCTAAGAAATCTTTTTCCCAAGGTTATGTAATCTCCTGTTATGTTGCAATAATGCCTCACAAGGGCATCATGTTGATATTTGGGCACAAGCATCCATAAAGAAAACACACTGGATTATGTATTTTTTCACTTATAATAGTTTAATATTTTTTTAAAAATTAAATGTTAATTGTATATATCTTAGAACTATATGGGATCAGATGAAAACCTTGGAAATTAAACCACTTTTAAGGTTTGCTTACCTGATTTTTATCTTGAGAAGAAATATACCAGGTGATTTTTTTTAATAGTCTATGCCTCGCCCCTATAGCTGATTAACAATAATATGCATGTATTAATCACATTTAGGCTGACCCAATTCTGCTCACAAAATTGTAGTGGCATCAACTCACTCAGAACCAAGCCAAAGTCCTTCCGATGGGCCACACGCCCCGGCTAGCCTCTGATTTCGACGTTTCCTAACTGCTCGCTCACCCTGCTCCAGCCACGCTGACTTCCTCCCTCCGCAATCACACCACGCATGATCCTGCCTCACGGTCCTTGCCCGTAACATTTCCACTGCTTGGAACATTTTACCCCAGATTTTGGAAAATAACCAATTGGTTTAAGATCCAGTTGTGAAGTTCAGACCACACTCGAATTCATGTTTCATTGTCCGGTATGCTGTGCTGCGTCTGGTGTCTTCAGGGACGAGTGCGCCGCCGCGGGGGGTGTCTAACAGCCCTCTGTCTGGGATGCGGGGCCTGGTGCTCTGTGATAGCTGCTGCTTGTGGCCTTCTTGACCTCTGCCTCTCATCACTGTCTCTTCCCCTTCACAGTCCTGATTCTGCTGCTTCTCCTGCTTATTCGGAGAAAACCGGCGGTCAAAGAGCCCTTACTACCCCCAGAAGATGACACCCGGGACAACGTTTATTACTATGATGAAGAAGGAGGCGGAGAAGAGGATCAGGTGGGTTTTTAAAACTGGTAAAAATCTTAATAGCAGTCTCTAGATTTGTAAGAAACAATGGTCAGAAGGCAGGCATTTGAAATAGCTCCGTGTCACTTTGTATATTATTTTTTAAAAACCTTACCTAAGAACATAGACATTGTCACTGGGCATCATCATTAGTACAACGTTCCTTCCATTTACTGATTGCTTGCTTTTCTGCACTCAGATGACTGAGCAGAGGCACAGAGCAGTTAAGCAACTTTCCCAAAGTCACACAGCTAGCAAGCATTAGGACCAGGTGGTCTGGCTCCAGAGCCTGCTCTCTTCATCACTAGTTTCAGGACATGAACTCCATTCAAATTGCCTTTGACACGGAGCGACTGATCTGTTGTACTATTTTATTTCCCCTGAGTTACGTTAGTTATGCTAAACTGTTTTGGGTTTTTTTGTTTGTTTGTTTTTTGGTTTTTGGGGTTTTTTTTTTGCTTTCTATAGATGTTAAAATCTTTAGGCTTGCTTTATTTTTCCTTACTTGGAGATGGAAAAATAAACTTACTTAAATAAACTTACTTAACTTGCCTTATTCTGGAGTTTTGCACAGAAGTTTTGAAAGTCTACCGTGGCTAGAAAGGGAAGCACAGGACCCATCAGAGTCTGATAGCAGGTGGAAAGGGGGTGAATATTTGCTGAAAAATAATCTAATAATCATACCCTGTGAAAAGATAATAAAGTACAACCGTCTCTATCACAAGTGTTCCTCACAATCCTTTTATGCTATATTTGTGCTATTCTGGAGACTCTTAGGTTGAAAACTATCATTTCAGATTATATTGACACATGCTTGTAAATATCCAGTCGCAGTTAAGGCATTACTAAGCACCATAACTATAAACCAGCTAGACCCCTGTATTTATGACTGCTTCTGCTTTACTCTTTACTCTGCTTTTACCTTTTTCTTTAAAGGACTTTGACTTGAGCCAGTTGCACAGGGGCCTGGATGCTCGGCCTGAAGTGACTCGCAATGATGTGGCGCCTCCCCTCCTGGGTGTGCCGCACTATCGGCCCCGCCCTGCCAATCCTGATGAAATTGGAAACTTTATTGATGAAGTAAGTAAGCAAAGTCAAAAGCCAAGGTACAGCTCATCCTTTGCTGAATTTAGAAGAGTTGCGTCAAAAGTGAGAAAGAATATAGATTCTTTCCTTTCCCACATTTTCATCTTGGGTGATCCCTGAACCCTTTTTTATTGTGTATATGTCATCTGAATTTTAGAAATAATAGCATTTCAAGTTGGTCTTGGTGGATTTGCAGAGTCCATATGGCAAAACCAAGAATTATGAAAGGATTTAATAGCACTAGAAAAGGAACTAAAGAAATTGAAAGTAGATCCAGTTTGGTTTCACTAATGGGTCTCTTCCCCTACATCCCACTGATGGTTGTTAATGTTAAATGTGTATCACAAGTCTACCTGAGGGCCAGAAAAATACCATTCATGATACATATGTCAGAAATGCATTCAGCTATAAATATCAAAAGCTTAAACAGATAGAAGTAGGTTTACCTTTTGCAAATAGAAGGCTGGGGTAAACAGTTGAGGCTGGAACCGCAGCCTTTTCTACCTGCCTGCTACAAGATACGAACATGTATATCCTTTTTCTCATGTTTGTTGTCTCATGATCACAAGATGGCTGCCACACTTCCAGGCCTTGGGTCTGTATTCCGGTTAGGATGCAGTAGAAAGGGCCGAGCAGAGGGCAACAATCTTCCTATCTAGTAGCAAACTGTTGTGCAAGAAGGGTGTTTAATCCTGCATGTTAGTGGCCAGAACTATCACAAGATTGCCCCTATCTGCAAGGGAGGATGGGAAATGAGACATTAAGTTAACTAGTTGAGGGTAAGATGAGGAAGAAATGGGGGTGGGATGAGCACAAAACCAAATAAGATAATATAGTCTAGCAAGATCTGTTTTCTTAAACTGTGTTACCTGACCACTTGCTCAGTTACTGGAATGAGTTTTGGGGCTTGTCTGTTGGTCCAGTGGCCCCCCTGTGGCAAGTGCTCTGGCAGGGGCAGCTTTGCTTTAACTTCAGCGGGAGCTGTAGTCACCAAGGACTATACAAAGCACAGCAGTGTTGGCAGTGACCAAACCACGTCCCTTCTTGCCACTGGATCTTAGAGAAAACTGGGCACCAGAAGGGCCAGTCTCAGCCATCCTTTTTAGGTACATCTGGATTCAAGTTCTTTCCGCCATTCACATTCATTTGCATGTTATTACATTTGATTGTAGCTTTTTCTTTTAACTACAAAAATGATATGGCTTGTTATTTTAAAAATATATATCATGACAAAGTATATAAAGAAATAAATGTAAGTTCTTTCTCAGTTCCTCTGACCCTACTCACCAGAATTAACTGTTAGCTGTTTGGCATTCATCCTTCCAGACCTTTTGGGCTGAAATGCAGCCTGTATGGGTCGGTATGACTGTCTTCATTGTTTTTAGCCTCTGTCCATCCAGATTGGTTGGTGCCTCTACCTCCCCTGTCTACATATAATTTACCATTCTAGTTCAAGGGGAAAATACTCTGTGTATTTTCCCATAACTTTCTTTTCTTTAACAACATATCATGTCTGTCTTCCACTGCAGTTTGTATGAACGTACCTAGTTAGCGTTGATTGCTCCCGGTGTTCTAAAGGGCGGCGGCATTGCCATGCAGTCCACTTGGCATGAGGCACCAGGAGAAGGCGTCTTGCCTAAGGTGACAGGTGTGTGGTTCCTTTCACTGAAAGATCTTGTCGTTTCCTTCTTCTTTAGAACTTGAAGGCGGCCGATAGTGACCCCACTGCACCCCCTTACGACTCTCTGCTCGTATTTGATTACGAAGGAAGTGGTTCCGAAGCTGCTAGTCTGAGCTCCCTGAATTCCTCGGAGTCAGACCAGGACCAGGACTATGACTACCTGAATGAATGGGGCAATCGCTTCAAGAAGCTGGCAGATATGTATGGAGGTGGCGAGGATGACTGAGGGACTCAAGACAGATGGAGAGATGGGTCCCTGCGCTCATGTGATAGGAAATGGAGGAGTAATTTTTCTGGAGGTCTTCCAGTTCCCTTCACTTGATGAATTTCTGAGGAAGAGAGACTGGCGCCAGTGATGCAGTTAGGGTAGTTATAATTTCTACTGTTTATAGATCTAATCTGCGTGTGTTAGAAGGAATTTGACTCCTTTGTTTCTTTCATCCCTTTACAAGCTAGCAAGTTGCAGATTTTTCTTAAGGGCTTTGTTTCATTTTTAAAAGGAAGGGGAGGGATCAACTGCCCTATTTTTTTTTTTTTTGTATCTATATAAAATTTTTATTTTTAATTTGTTTGCATTTTTTTATCCTATCACTGAACCAGTGTCCCATCTTCCGATATCCGCTCTTACTACTTCGGAATTTACATTGCCCCGGGCATGAGTTTCCTGAGCCAGAAACTATTGCGCCCTTTAAGGGTAAGGGGCTGTGTCTTAGTCTGGCCATATCATGACTGGGTATTGTGTTCCCTTAAGACCTTCAACGGTTTTCTTTTTTCACCTCCTGAGTATGTAACTTGAAAGGAACAACTACCCATTTACTTGTTCTGAGTAAGAATGTTTGTTATGTGAATGTCATTATGGAGCATTTTGGTTCTAAACAAGGAGCTTTGCCCAGAAAAGTTTTCAGGTGCCACTTAACTTTTAATGTTTATCACTAAAACAAAAGAGTGATAAATTGAATATTTTGAGACTCAGAACAGTGTCCAAAATGTTGCAGCCAAAGAGAGAAGATTCGGCATGTCCCAGCAGACGGAAAACATGAGAAGTGAGCTTGGAGATGACAGGAGAAATTGTCACTGAGCCTGGCAATTTAGGAAGCTGAGGCTGAGAATGGTTGAGGTGGCTCTACCTCTAGCCATAAAAATTCTGGAAAAATGGAAGAATCTCAACATGTGCTTCCTACCAGGATCTTTACAACATGGCTTGTACCTGAAACCCAGAATCTCCAAACGCTTGCTTTTGTTGATGTCCACAGAAAATATTGGTTGATCTAGACACATTTGCCCCAAGTTCCAAGAAAACTGAGAATATCAGAAAACCCAAAGATTTTCTTAAGGAGCAGGGGAGGTGGAGGTAAGGAGAACCTCGATTTGGACATTCTTCTGGTTGAAATGTGGTCATCAAGAAACTTTTGACAACCCCAGAGAAGAAGTTTATCTAAGTCGCTTTACTGTCTGTCAACTGTTTTTTGAAGGCAAAAATCATTCCTCAACCACTTCTTGGAATTGTTTTGATTTTTCAGGAATTTAAACTGATGTAATTCCGTGTAGACTGTCACTGTAGTTTTGAGTGCATATGTGTGTAGGTGATTATAATTTGTATTTTCTTTGGGGGTGGAAAAGGAAAACAATTCAGGCTGATAAACTTGATATTCATTTTTATAAATTTTATTAAAGAATTTTGTTAAATCATTGTCAAACTTGTTTTATTTGATTACACCGCAGTTCTAGGCAAGCTAAATGATTGGGGAGCTCAGCCTAAACATGGAGAAAGGAACTTCATGTTCAAATGACCTCTGCGGAACTCTGTTACTCTGCTGTGGGTGAAGCGGGGAGAAGCTGCATTGTCAAGGTCACTTTATTTGAAAACCATCTGTCCATGTGCATGTAGTGAAACCAATAAATTCCCTTGTCATTGGTGATGACTCCGGGCTGAGCTGAGAGTCAGAAGCAGAGCTTCAAAAAACATTCAAGTCAGTCAGCAAAGTTAGTCTAGTCCAGTGGTTCTCCACTAGGGTAGACTGGGGGTCCCCTCCCCTAGGGGATATTTGGCAATTTCTAGATACATGTTTGATTGTCATGACTGGGGAGGTGCTACTGACATCAAGTCAAGGCCAGGGATGCTACCAAACATCCTACAATGCACAGGACAGTCCCTGCCAACAAAGAATTATCAGGCTCCGAACGGCAATAGTGCCTCTGAGAAACCCTGGTAAAGGCCCTTTACCAGGAAGAGTTTTCTCTGCTGGAGGAGTATAACTTTTAAAAATATTTTTAAAATTTTTAAATTGTAAAATATATATAACATTTTACTTTTTAAGGTAATTAGTGTTCTCTTATTTTTTAAATATTTTATTTATTTATTTTCAGAGAGGAGGGGGAAGGAGGAAGAGAGAGGGAGGGAGAAAAACATCGATCAGTTGCCTGGCCCGCAACCCAGGCATGTGCCCTAACTAGGAATTGAACCAGCGACTTTTTTGTCTGCAGGCTGGCACTCAGTTCACTGAGTCACACCAACCAGGGTACATTTTACTATTTTTAAGTGTACAGTTAAATTGCATTAAGTAATATTCAGCCTTAAAACGGAGAAAAATCCTGACACATGCTACACCGTGATGAACCTTGAAAACATTGTATCAAGTGAAATAAGCCAAATACAAAATGACAAATACTATGATTCCACATATATGTGGTACCTAGAATAGTCAAATTTATGGAAAGTAGAGAAGAAGATATGGGACTGCAGAGAGAAGGGAATGGGCATTATTGAACGGGGATAGATTCCTCGGGTGGTGAGAAGTTCTGGACATGGATAGTGGTGGTGGTTGTACAACACTGAATGTACTCAATGCCGCTGAATTGTTTCCTTTAAAATAGCTGGGTTTTATGTCTATTTTACCATAATAAAGTCAGGGAAAAGTAGAATAAGGATAAAGACAGGAAAGTAATGGTTCTATAGAGAATAACATTAAACTGTTTACAGAGTCCCATCCTGATGGGTGTGGCTCAGTTGCTGGGCATCGTTCCACAAAAGGTTATCGGTTTGGTTCCAGGTCAGGGAAGATGCCTGGGTGGTGGGTTTGGTCCCCAGTCGAGAACGTGTACAAGAGGCAACTGATTGAGGTTTCTCTTTCACATCCATGTTTCTCTCCCTCTTCCTCCCTCTCCCCCTCTCTCTAAAAAATAAATAAAAATCTTTTAAGACAAAAACTATTTACAGATCACCTACCATATTATGCAGGGGGCTGTACCAGCAGGGAAATGTGGTGTGTGAGAAAGACTAGAGAGAAGGTAGTTGGGCCAGGCCAGGAGCCTAGCTGATGGCAGGACTGGAGAACCAAGCCTCTGCTTTCCTCTTGCTGGTTCTGTAGGCAGTATGTGGTGAAGACACCAAGACTGGAGCCCTGCCATCCGAGTTCAAGTTCTGTTTCTGTCATTTCCAGCTGTGAGCTCAGGCGAGCTACTTAACCTTTCCCTATCCTGTTTCCTCGTCTCCAATAGGAAGGTACCTGGTTCTCCTCCATAGGAGGTTGTGAGACTAGATGAGTTGAATTGTATAAAGTATTTAGCTTATGGTAGGGCTCTGCTAAATGTTAGCTTTTATTTTTATTGTCAAATAAGGAGTACAGCAAGGGAGTTTCAGGTAGAGGAAATCATTCAAGCGAAAGCAGGATGTTAGGAGAGAAAAGGCGAAGCTAGACTGGATTTAGTGGGTCAGATAGTATGGGTACAGTGTTTTGAGCAGAGCTCTGTGAACCAAGGGGGTGTCCTGTGAAGGCGCATCTGTTTTCAGGGTTGATGAACTGGCCTGGAGAGACCAGAGATGGCAGAGAGCCTCTGAAGTTCGGGTTGAAATAGGGATGAAGGGATCCAGAAAAGACCATTCATGAAGAGGGTTTTTTCCTGAACTCTCCTTATCTGCAAAATAATTCAACAGTCATAAATCTCCCCAGAAGTTTCACAATCGGAGAGGATTGACTGCTATCACCAGAGACTAGAAGTTGGCACTTCTGGGATAAGAAATCACCTAAACAGATTTTGTCCTGAAACTATCATACCTCCCATTGAGTCTCCCAAGGACTCATTTAACTTTCCTCAAAGTCATCTGTTTTCCCTCCCGATTCTAACCACCTCTTTGAGTCACATTTTTCTGTGAATTCTCTAAGGTGTGAATAAAAATCTGTTTTTTTCCTCAGTAATCTGTCTTTTGTCAGTTTAATTTCCAGGCCCCCATATTCAGAACCTAAGTAGGAAGGGGAAAAGTGGCAAATATCTGATTGATACTACAGGGACTGGTAATATAAAGAAGTTTCCTTTAAGATCAATGAAGCCCTGGCTGGATGGCTCCGTTGGCTGGAGCATGGTCCCCACACCAAAAGGTTGTGGGTTTGATCACAGGTTGGGGCACATAACTGATCAGGAGGCAACCAGTCAATCTTTTTCTCTTTCTCTCCTTTCCTCTCTCTCTAAAATCAATAAACATGTCTTAAGGTGAGGATTCTTTAAAAAAGCTGTTCATTTAGTTGGGTATAATGATTGGTGGCTACAGTGAGCTAATCCGTATTTTTAAAAATAAATGAAAACAAGCTTCGGTGATGTCCTTTTTTGGTGGAGTGGGTATGGGGGTTATCACAGACTGAGGTTTTCAGACTGGCAGGGTAAGAATTTAGGGGTCAATTATGGAAAATGGAATGCAACCACTCCACTTATAGCATGTGGCTTTAGATGATAGAAACCCTTAACTTGCTGGAGTCTTTACTGGGAATTCAGTCTTTGATAAATATTGGATGCCAATAACCTTATTAGTTCTGGGTTGACCAATTTCCTGTCTGCTTCATTAGGTCTCCCAGTGTTTTGGTATATGAATATCTTCATACTAAAGTACATATTTTTCATGATAAGATAATTTCCTTTTTTTTATTTATTGATTTTGAGAGAGAGGCAGTGAGAGAGAAACATGACTTGTTGTTCCTCTTATTTATGCATTCATTTGGTTGATTTTTCTGTGTGCCCTGTGGAACTCGCAACCTTGGCGTATGGGGATGCCCTAACCAACTGAGCTACTATGCCAGGGCCAATTTCCTTCTTGATGTAGCAGTTAATTGTGCATCTAGACAGGTTGTGTTATCTGTGGGTTTTTTAAAAAGTTTTTATTGATTGAGAGAGAGGAACATCGTGTTTCATTTATTTATGCATTTATTGATTGCTTCTTGTATGCACTCTAATCATGGGTCCAACCCGCAAATGCGAGAACGCTCTAACCAACCGAGCTACTGCTATGGGACTAAACGGCCGGGAGAAAGTAATTTATTTTGCAAAGTGGGCGTTCCTGACCAGGCCGCCCCGCCCCATACCGGTAGCCACGCCCCCAGGCCGTGAGGCTCCTGCCACACTCAACATGGCGTCGGCCCGGGGGTCGCCGGCCCTGGTTTGCCCAGGCGCCTGAGCAGGTCGCAAGCGGAGTGTGCCACTCCAGTAATGGCGGATCCTGGGCAGGACCCGGGCCACGGGGCTCCTGAAACGTGCGGTCTGGAGCAGATTTTGGAGGCGTTGAAGCTGCTGCTGAGCCCGGGAGGTGAGAGGACGGACCTCGGCGCTGGGCTGCACCCGGGACTCTCAGGGCCGCCCGTCTTCCACGGCTGCCCTGGATCCTACACGGTGCTCCCCCCAGGCCCTCGAGGGGCCTTAGGCCCGGCGGCCGCCCCTCCCCTGGGGGCTTTGGGTATTGTCTGTCCAGCCTCTTACCGTTGAGGAAACCCAGGCTCAAGGAGGGATGGGATTCGTTGAGTATTGATAGTAACCAGGGTCTCTTGAGCGCTCACCTTCTGCCGGGCACTGTGTAAGCGCCTTGGGTACGTGGTTTCATTCACTCTGTGCTGCAGCCCTCGGAGGCAGGGACGCGGAAACAGCTTCAGAGCGGGGTGGCGCTCGTGACGATAAGGTGACGACGCTCCAACCTCTCGAGGAGGGTGTAGGGTCTAATGTGGACTCTGGAGATCTGTACAAAATGTCGCGGAATCTCAAAAAGGGAATCAGTGACTTTTGAGCTGGGTTTGGCGAGAGTATTTAGGGATTTACAGTCTAGGACGGATTTACAGTCACTTATAATCTTTCGTGGTGCCAAGATCTTCCCAGTTTAGAATCTTAAAGGACCTTGGGAGTGGGTTAGCCTGCCACTCACCTTTCACAGCGGAGGACACTCAAGCCTCACTGAAGACGTAGGTAACTTGTCCAAGATCATGCGGTCCAATTAGGGCCAGGATGCTGACCTAGGACCGAGGTTTACCGAACCCCCTTCTCAGACCAAAGCAAATTATTCCGTATGAATCCTCAGGTATTATCTGGAGCTTTGAGAAAGGACACAGAGGGTCCTTTTTCGGGGAAGGGCTTTAGGGTGAGCAAGGTAAGGTACATGAAATGGCATGAGGTGATGTTCCAAGTCTCAAAATCTGAGACACCCAGCTCCCCCGCCCAAACTGCCAAAACTCCCACAAACAAAAACTCCCACATACCCAGGGGACGTGAAAAGAAGTTATTAATAATAGTAATTGAGTGCCTACGAAGTATCAATCCCTATACTGATGTTTACGTACATATCATTTGATGCTCACAGCAATCACACGAGCTAGGTGTTACTTGTATTC